TTGTTGCCTGCTCTACCGTGGTGATGTGGTGCCAAAAGATGTCAATGCTGCCATTGCCACCATTAAGACCAGGCGTTCCATTCAGTTTGTGGACTGGTGCCCAACTGGTTTCAAGGTTGGCATCAACTACCAGCCCCCTACTGCAGTACCTGGTGGGGACCTGGCCAAGATGCAGCGAGCTGTGTGTATGCTAAGCAACACCACGGCCATTGCTGAAGCCTGGGCTCGTCTCAATCACAAATTTGATCTGATGTATGCCAAGCGCGCCTTTGTGCATTGGTACGTGGGTGAGGGGATGGAGGAAGGGGAATTCTCAGAGGCTCGTGAAGACATGGCTGCCTTGGAGAAAGATTATGAAGAGGTTGGCACAGCTGATGATGATGATAATGAGGGATTCTGAATTCCTTTCTGATCAAGGGCAAAACATTTCATTTCTGTTTGACACAATTAAAATGCATTCCTTTTGAATGATAGCATTCTGAATTGCATTGTCATTTGCCATGAGAAATGGACATTTTAACATTGAGCTTTTAGATTTGAGTGAATTATTTGGAAATGCTCCTCTGTTTTTAACCTAATAAAATAAAAGTTGCAACATGATTTGGTGAAACTTTGGACTCCTCAAATGATGAAGTAGGATGTTACAGTGGACTTGAAGTTTCGTAAGGTGTTCTGACTGTCATTTTGTAGCTAGGGCTCATAGTAATGAAGCAAGCAGAAGGATTGTATCCAATGCAGAAATTGACACCCGATAGTTATAAACCCATAGCAGGGGTTTCCGACAAGCAACAGTTAACAGTTATCTCAAAGCACGTGCCTACCAGAAAATGCCTTATTAAAAAAAATTCCTTTGTCCTTTCATTGACCACTTTAAAAGAAGACACCAGCTATCCACACTCCTTCAAACTCAAGCCTACAAAATCTATTAAATGTGAAGCCTTCTTAACAGTTACCTCATCAATAGATAAGTATTAAAGTCAAAACATGACTTTCCTTTAAAAAACCCTTAGCTGTAGCCTGCCTCCAGCAGATCTTTTTATTTTTTTAAGCAATGGCCCTTTAGTTAGTTTTAAGTGGGATTTCTGTCTCAGTCTCATTTGTGATTCTTTGACCCTTGATTCTTCAAAAGGTGGAAGAAAAAGAATCTTTGAATCTTACTTTAGATTCTTGTGATGGAGGAGGGGTGAAAGATTATGAGGTCAGGTAGCAATGTGGAGTAACCAGAGCAGCCATGGCGAAGCATAACTATAAGATTATAGAAGCAGAATTAGATTGTTTGGCCCATCATTCGATCATGTCTGGTATGTTTTTCAACTCCATTCTCTTGCCTTCTTCCCATTAAACAGACCCAATTCCTAGGTTTCGATGTTCCCATGTCTATCCATAGGAAGAAATTCTGACTCAAGGTGCCTGCCCATCAGAGATATCCATGACGCTGTGTTGGCAAGCTGCACTATAATTGGGGCCAGTGGCCACTGCTGGTGTAACAGGGTCCCAGCAGGAGGGGAAACAGTGGCTGACCTGGAACCCAAGTGGGATTTTCAGAGGTGCCAGACCCTGTGAGGGGATTGTAGGGTTTGGGGAGGAGGGGGTGCTGTTACATTTCTGACTGTGGCGATAAGGAGCTTGGATACTGGGAGGTAAAACTGTGGGTCAGGGCAGCCTTCAATTAGGTCCCCCTCCCCCTCCCCCAAAGTTAAACCTGCAGGGTGACACATTCAGCACAGGCCTTTCCCACTGTGCAGAGGGTCATAATAGGGTGCTGAACAAGAGCTGTACTGTTGCTTTAACATCTCATCTGATAGACACTACCTCTAACAGCCCATCTGCTGCAAGATGCAGGGAAGTTGTACCTGAATTCTTGGCCAATATTAATCTCCCCAGTTACACTTTATCTAATCACTTGTCTTATTGACTATCCAGTCACCTATCATGTGTACTCTAACCAAAAAGGTGCATAGGCTCTAGTTTTTATTTGGAGTTTGTCACTATCTCCTCAGTCAGACTAGGAAATGAGCCTGTATTGTATTGTTACTCTGAACTGCATAGGAGCCATCTTCCAAACTGATGGAATCTACCATCCTCTGGTTTTAAAAAAAGCATTTTGTCATAGACTCCTCTAATCCACCTACCAACTTTTAAAATCTTGCTGAAAGAGACATGAAGTCCAAGCTTTATATCAGGGTGAACAAAATCAATTTGCCAAGTTCAAATTTAACCAGTTAATGCAGACAGTTGTCAGATTCCTACTGCATCTCTTTGCTAATTAATCAGCCTGATCCGGGGGGGTGGGGAAAGGGAGAAGGGAAGAGATCTGGCAGGCGGGGGGGGGGGGGGAGGGGGGGTGGTGGAAAGAGGTCTGGGGGAAGTGCAGGAATGTAGAATTCAGGTTTTAAAAAAAAATCAGATCAGCAATGGATGTTACTGAATGGTGGAACAAATTCAAAGGGCTGAGTAGCTTCTTGTTCACACTAAATTTTGTTGTACTGTTTCATAGTTTGTTTTATTTGGGAACTTGAGTTTGTAGAGACACAAATGGCCAGATGATTTTTATTTAAAAAAAATAAAGTCACTATAGGCCAGTGGACCATAAGGCTGCTCTGTCATTGAGAGATCACTGGTGGCAAGTTTAACTTGAGGGTCACCACACCTGAGGCAAGGAGTAAGATTGAGAGGGCAGGATCTTCACATAACCTCAAAACAAAAAAGGTTAATTTAAAAACTAAACCAGTAACTAAAACCAAGACACCCAGAGAGAGGAGAAACTGAAAGAACTGCAGATGCTGTAAATCAGGAACAAAACAGTTGCTGGAAGAGCTCAGCAGGTCTGCCAGCATCTGTAAAGAAAGAAATAAAATTAGAGTTAACATTTCAGGTCCAGTGACCCTTCCTCACAACTGAGTTGAGGTTTTCCAGCAACTGTTTTTGCCCCAAATTGAGAGCCTTGCCCTATAATCTGTTAGGAGTGCAAGGGGCATAACCCATTTTTTCAAGCAACTTCTAGTTAAGTTAAATATAGTCCTGACAGTCACTTTACAATCAACCAAAAAGTAACAGTTTATCTAAACTGAGCAAATTAAAATTAATGGCCAAATGAACCCCTAACCTTCTGACTAATCTTAAATAAAGCAAGATTCTAATGGCATGCTCTTCTAATAAATATATACCACTTGCATTAAAAAGTGAAAAAATAGAATTTTTGTCTTGAAATTACAGCCAGGTTACACGTCTTCCTGAATGTTCTGTCCAATGTTCTATCAGGAACATCTTCTGTCAGGAATATTAACTAGTTGTGCCATAGGTACCTTTGATTTAGATGATTGTTTCTCTAAAACTGAGGGAAGACTGTAAGAGCTAGTGATTCTCTTGAGAGAAGAGTGCTTAACTCTTGCAATGGCAGTTCATGCTCTGGTCTTTGACCAACTGCCCCTTTCATACTCTTGATGACATATCAATATTCCTTACAATGATTGGTCCTCATTTGTCAGAGCCATAATTTAAATTGTTGATTTTTGGTATTTGGGCCCTAGTCAAATTGATTAGTTAACTTAAAAAACAACTTTGCTGACTGTACAGCCTTTTGATACAAGTGTTTCAATGCAGGTGCTGTGCATCTGCAACTGTTACCCACAAACATCTTTTTTGAATCTAAGCATATTAAAAACATCTTTTAAAAGAGGGACTACACATTGCTTTCCTCCCTAGCATTTTACAAAACACCAATATTTTATTGACACTAAACTCTAATGTCCGGCCTTCCAATCCAAAAATACTCTACCCAACTTTGCAACACTCAGTCAACATGGGAATTGAACCCAAACTGTTGGCAGCACTGCACCATAAACCAGCCATCCAAGCTAAAAAAGGTCAATGGCAAAAAGACTTTGAAAATCACATGGTTCCAGATATTTGCAAGAATAGATTGCCTGAACTGCCTTCTGGGAAAGCAGCTGACTGCTTCTATGACTGAGGTTCTGACTGTTGAGATGTAGTTTTGCTTTGCATATTGATGAGTGGTGGGTAAGCAGCAGACTGAAGGAAAGACTTGAGCTCAGCTCTTGTTTCTGGACATACCCTTGTAATCACCCTCCTCAAAAGCTCCAGAAGAAACTTCAGTAGAGAACTCAAATCAAAGTTGCATAAACAGGAAATGTAAGATTGTCAATAGAAACTGCATTCTGAAAGATTGCTATTCAGAACTAGTTCATGGGAAATCCAGATTGAGGGAGCTACAAGATCATATGCATCACAAAATTGGGAACCACAAACCCAAACCCTTTGCAATTGGAACTGGTATCAAATTTAAGAATTAGAACAGCATGATATTCTGTTGTTTCTCTATTCAGAGACAGCAACTGTACCCAATAATTTTAGCCAGGAGTCAGAACTATGTTACATTTGAGAGAACTACTTCAAAACAGGTGGCAGTCAAAATAATTTATTATTAAATGGCAAAGATAGGTAGAACAAAGATCAGATTAATAGAATTCAAAATTCCTCCTCCTCCTCTTCCTCATCAGCTATACTGTCAGCACCAACCTCTTCATAATCTTTCTCCAAGGCAGCCATGTCTTCACGAGCCTCCGAGAATTCCCCTTCCTCCATCCCCTCACCCACGTACCAATGCACAAAGGCACGCTTGGCGTACATCAGATCAAACTTGTGGTCAAGACGAGCCCAGGCTTCAGCAATGGCTGTGGTGTTGCTTAGCATACACACAGCTCGCTGCACCTTGGCCAGGTCCCCACCAGGCACCACTGTAGGGGGCTGGTAGTTGATGCCAACTTTGAAACCAGTTGGGCACCAGTCCACAAACTGGATGGAACGCCTGGCCTTAATGGTGGCAATGGCAGCATTGACATCTTTTGGCACCACATCACCACGGTAGAGCAGGCAACAAGCCATGTACTTGCCATGGCGTGGGTCACACTTGACCATCTGGTTGCCTGGTTCAAAGCAGGCATTGGTGATCTCAGCCACAGACAGCTGCTCATGGTAAGCTTTCTCAGCTGAGATGACTGGGGCATATGTCACCAGAGGGAAATGGATACGTGGATAAGGCACCAAGTTAGTTTGGAATTCTGCCAAGTCAACATTTAGGGCTCCATCAAAGCGGAGAGAAGCTGTGATTGATGACACAATTTGCCCGATCAGACGGTTCAGGTTGATGTAACCTGGATGTTCAACATCCAGGTTTTTGTGGCAGATGTCATAGATGGCTTCATTGTCCACCATGAAGGAACAATCAGTGTGTTCCAGTGTGGTGTGAGTGGTCAGGATGGAGTTGTAAGGTTCCACCACAGCTGTGGAGATCCTGGGAGCTGGGTAGATGGAAAACTCCAGCTTGGACTTCTTGCCATAGTCAACTGAGAGACGTTCCATCAGCAGTGAGGTGAATCCTGAGCCTGTGCCTCCACCAAAACTATGGAAGACCAGGAAACCTTGAAGACCGGTGCATTGGTCAGCCTGGAAGAAAAAAAAAGTGTTGCTATCAAACATGGAGTTACTTTTCCAATTCATTAACATGATGAGGGTATCACTGGCTAGATTAGCCATTATTGCCCATCCCTAATTGCCCAAAGGGCAGTTCAGAATCAACCACATTTGCTGTGGGTCTGGAGTCACATGTAGGCCAGACCAGGTAAGGAAGGCTGTTTCCTTCCCTAAAGGACATTAGTGAACCAGATTGGTTTCCCCAGCAAAAACCAACAAGGATTTATGGTCATTAGATGCTTAATTCCAGATATTTTTATTGAATTCAAATTCTAACATCTGCCATGATGGGATTCTAACCCAGGTCCCCAGAACATTATCTGGGGACCTGGATTATGTGATAATACCACTTGGCCATTGCCTCCCATTACTTGCATCAGTGAATCCTTTTCCTTTGGAAAAAATCCAGGGACCTTGATCTTATCCAAGATGCACCATTCATAATGGATACCCAAATTTAGACAGGGAGTCACATGACTAAATGGAGATATGTATCCAATGGAGACTTGGGGTTTCACCCACAGGCATTATGGGTTCTCCACCATATAGTCCATGCAGTGTTACCAGCTATGATCAGTTTAACTCCTCAGGAGTCAAGCCTGTGACCTGCCTGACATTTACTGCCATTGTGGCTTCTATACATTTTCCATCTATTTATGGGATGCAATTTTGTTAGTCCTGCATTTATTGCCCATCCCTCGTTGAATGGGGAAATGTTGGTACAGTGCCTTCAAGTCATCCATGATGTAGGGACACCCACAATGCTGTTAGGTACTCCAGGTCTTTGACCCAGTGACCCTGACAGAATGGGAATATAGTTCTAAACTGGGATGATGTGGCTTAGAGGGGACACTACCACCTGCATCTTGTAATCAAGATCTGTTTTCAGAGACAAGCTTACTACAGTGGGATGGAATGAAAAATGCATTGCATGCAATTTGTGACAATTTGAAACAATAGATTGTTAGAACTAAAAAGCTAACTAGACTAGGGTAGCACATGTCCTACCACCTTGCATTATATGCACCCTTAATCCAGCAAAAAAATTAAAAATGTTTGAGGAACCAAAAAGGCAGGCTTCAGAGAGATTAAGCAGAGACAGAGTAGAAGAATGCTTTGGGAGAATTCGAAACCTAGGTCACCTGGCAGATGAAAGCAGCCACCAAGAGGAGAAGACAGATTTAAAATGAAAATAGTGACATTCACAAGAGGCCAAAATTAAAAAAGTTTTGGCTTCATGTCTGGGGAAGGTTAGACACCAAGGATGTTTTAAATGCAAGGGAAAGAAATATGGCTTCCTGTAATAAAAAGGGAGGCAATGGCATCATGGCAATATTACAAAGTCTACAAACCAGAACCCCAAGCTAATGGTTAGAGGATACCATGTCAGGGGTGGAATTGGGGTTTGTTTGATGTTTGAATTCCCAAAATATGGAAGTTGTCACCTCATGGGGTTGTCTGTTAGGATAGAAATCCCAACAGGTTCATGTCCTAGAAGGACTCTGCTGTCTTACCTGCTTGCATGAAACTCCAAACCCATCACAATGTGGTTGACTTAACAGCAATAAGGCTGGGGCCATAAGTGTTGGTCATTGGCTGGACAATCATTCTTCACTGGCTGTAGACACTTTACATGCAGGTAGCTCACCAATATGGGGAGCAGTGGTGGGAATGAGCAGACAGGACTGTTGCTCATCCAGTCCTCAAAACTTTGAGATCACTTATACATAAGAAAAAAAGTTCTGTCATACCAACTTGCAAATTCGGTCCAAGACAGAGTCAATCAGCTCCTTGCCAATTGTGTAGTGCCCACGGGCATAGTTATTGGCAGCATCTTCATTCCCAGTGATGAGCTGCTCAGGGTGGAACAGCTGACGATAAGTACCAGTACGAATTTCATCTAGAGAAAGTACAATACAGATCTGGTCATTTGGTGGTCACTCAGCTTGCTGAAACATGATGAGATTTTGCCAAAGCTTTGTCCTACAAGTGCAAGACTCAAGACCAACACAAGGAGGGCAACATTTTGTGTGCGTGAGCACTTAGAATTTGAATAATGGGGGAGGTTTTGCCATAGAGTGCACTAGTTTGAGATAAATTAGTTTGGTTAAATGGGCAGATGAACAGCATTCTTGCAAGCCATCCAATGAGTAAAAACAAAAGCTTCAATAAAATGGTCTTTCAAGCAATAGTTCAGTCTAGCAACACCATTGTATTTTTAATGGTATCCACCTAAAATTAGATTGAAAGGAACAGGTCCACAGTCACAGAAGTCTAGGTTAGTGTTCCTGGGTTAACCCAAGTTGGACCACTAATGGTCTTGAATCCCCACTATACATTAAAGGAGACAGCCTTCAGCTTGTCTCAGTTTCACAACAGCAGGCTTGTGTCCTGTTTGCCCACCTAGGTAATAATCTCTTACTACTAAAAAAGTGAAAGAATTGCAGATGCTGTAAATCAGGAACAAAAACCAGAATTTGCTGGAAAAGCTCAGCAGGTCTGGCAGCAGAGGAAGGATCACTGGACCCAAAACTAACTGATTTTACATAGAACATAACAGCACAGTACAGGCCCTTCAGCCCATGATGTTGCACTGACCTGTGAAACCAATCTGAAGCCCATCTAACCTACACTATTCCATTACCATACATATGTTTATCCAATGACCATTTAAATGCCCTTAAAGTCAGCAAGTCTACTACTGTTGCAGGCAGGGCATTCCACACCCTTACTTCGGAGTAAAGAACCTACCTCTGACATCTGTCCTATATCTATCACCCTCAATTTAAAGCTATGTCCCCTCGTGCTTGCCATCACCATCTGAGGTGAAAGGCTCTCATTGTCCACCCAATCTAATCCTCTGATCATCTTGTATGTCTCTAGTAAGTCACCTCAACCTTCTTCGAAAGAAGACAGCAAGTCCCTCAGCCTTTCCTCACAAGACCTTCCCTCCATACCAGGGAGCATCCTTCACATCCTTGCCTAAAAAGTAATCCCAGTTAAGAACTTTTCTATTAAGCTCTCACCTCAGACATATTGGGTGGGGGGGTTGCGATTTGTACAGCAAGAATCCTTCTAGTGCAGAAAGAGGCTATTCAGTCCAATCAAGTCTGCACTGACCCTCAGGATCCCACCCAGATGCAGCCCTACCCTATCCTCATTTATGATGGGCAATTCACCTAAACCTGCACATCTTTGGACAATAGGAGAAAACATGAGCACCCAGCAGAATCCTACAGATGTAGCAAACCTGCTAATTCCACAGACTCACCCAAAGCTGGAATTGAACCCATGCCCTGGTGCCAAGAGGCAGCTCAGTGGTTAACATTGCTGCCTTTCCATCACCCTTTGGATAATGGAGGCTCCCAAAACAGGCACAGCCCAACTAATTTAAGGTTCTCAACAGTTTATTTACACCAACTCCTTTTATCATCTCAAACCCCATTACTCATTTTCCACAAGGGAATAGATATAGTCTGTGCAACCCAACATACAAACTCAGCAATAGTTGTTGCATCCCTTCCAATTAAAGGGAATTACAGGCAACATCAGATATAGTTAGGAAATTAGTTCACTGTCTAGAATAGTTAGAGCCATTATAGATACTTTAAAAATTTTGCCTCATTTCCTGTTCCAATCAAATGATTGATTAGGGAGAAGGTACTTTAATTCTTAGGTTAAAAAAGCCAGACATTAAAAACCAAAAGAACTGTGGATGCTGCAAATTAGTAAAAAACAAGTTGCTGAAAAAGCTCAGCAGGTCTGGCAGCACTGGAGAGATCAGAATTAGCATTTTGGGTCCAGTGACCCATCAGAAGAGTTGAAGGGTCACTGGGCCCAAGACACTAATTCTGATTTTTCTTCAGAGGTGCTGCCAGACCTGCTGAGCTTCTCCATTTTAACTATCACAACATTGTCAGCCTTTCTAAAACCATGGTTTCTTCAAAATAAAAACCTTAAGGATGGTTTGAATGCCATGATTACCGATCACAGTTGGCTCCAAGTCCACAAAGATTGCTCTGGGCACATGTTTCCCGGTTCCAGTCTCGCAGAAGAAGGTGTCAAAGGAGTCATCAGCCTCATTTGCATTTTTCATATCAGGTCGGTGACCATCAGGCTGGATCCCATGCTCCAAACAGTACAGCTCCCAGCAGGCATTGCCCATCTGGACACCAGCCTGGCCAACATGGATGGAGATACATTCACGCTGCAGGGCAGGAAGCAAACTGTTAGAAGTGCATTGGAACAAATGTTTATTCAATCAATAGTTATTGATTTAAAAAGTTTGCATACTTAATCATGGAATCTCAGGGGAGGTTGTGGTGTATGGTTTGTCACTAGACTAGCAATCCTGAGTGTTCTGGGAGCTAGGTTCAAATCCTGCCATGTTGGGGAGGTGATGGCCTAGTGGCATGATCGCTGGACTGTAATCCATACAGCCAGATGCTCTGGGAACCCAGGTTCAAATCCCACCACAGCAGATGGTGGACTTTGAATTCACTAAATATTCAGAATTAAAAATCTAATGATGACCATGAATCCATTGTCAATTGTTAGAAAACCCACCCAGTTCACTAATGCCCTTTAGGGAAGGAAACTGCCATCCATACTTGGTCCAGCCTGCATGTGACTCCAGACCCACAGCAATGTGGTTGACTGCAAACTGCCATCTGGGCAATAAATGCTGCCTGGCCAGCAATACCCTCATCCCATGAGGAATAAAAATGATGGCATTTGAATTCAGTAAAGAATCTGGAATTAAGAGTCTAATGACAACAACATCATTGTCAGGAGAAACCCCATCTAGTTCACCACATCCTTTGGGGAAGGAAATCTGCTCCCCTTAACTGGTTTGGTCTACATGTGACTCCAGATCAACAATGTTGTTGACTCATCTGCTCTTTGGGCAAGAAGTGCCAGCAGGGGTAACCACACAGAGCCCACAATGGATTAAAGCAAGTCTCCACTTTTAGTACTAATAGGCCAGTTCACATTCCTTCAGCATCCTCCCACCATAACTTTCTATTCCTGGCTGCAACATTTTCTATTTTTGGCTGCACATACTCAATTGGTCAAGGGGCCTCATCTGGATGCCACTCCAGTTTTATTTACTTCTCCAACCCCAACTCCATCAGTGCCATTTGCCTCATGGCAGGAGGTTCCACACTCTCCACTCTGGTGGAAGTTTAGATTTTGGGAAGATTTACCAGCTTGGAAAACTACAGTTTTTTTCCCCACTAGGATAGACTTGCAGTAGCTAGATTGCAAGATAAGAGAGCTGGTAGCAGGTTTAGCTTCTAACATGGATTCAACAGAAATAGTAGGAACTGCCAATGCTGGAGAATCAGAGATAATAGTGTAGAGCTGGATGAACACAATAGGCCAAGCAGCATCAAAGGAGCAGGAAGGCTGATGTTTCAGGTCTAGACCCAATCATGGATTCAACAGGCAGCTTCTTAAACACCTGAACACAGGTCAGAGCTTCTGGGGACAATGCACCAACAATTCAGTGATTTTAAAAAATTACATCTGCCTTTCTTTGAATAGACCCATTTAATCCCCAGACAGATAAGTCATCATTTATAAACTTCACCTCCCCCTTCCCAACAGATGACCCACTTAGAAACCAGGGCAGATTACTCAAGCTAAGAGGAGAATCAACATAAAACACAGGCTCTGATCCACATTTTTAAATTGAAAAAATAAAAACTGGTCTTACAACTTCAAAGGCTTGAGACACCCTAGTCATTTTTCAGTTTACTCACCATTTTAAATGCCCCTTTCTCAAAGTGCAAAAAACTTGGCAAGGATCAGCCACCTCAGAGCAGAAAAACAAATCCAAGAAAAATCAGTAGCAACCAGCTCTTTCTCTTCACCCTATTTATACAGCTGCTGACAACTCATGAGGTGGGATTGGTTAAAATAAATTAAGTCAATTAATGGAATTATTGCCCTTAATGAAAAAGAAACTTTTCAGAAACCACTATCCCCCCAGCCATAAAAAAAAAACATCCAACTGGATATGCAATTAGTTTTTCTTAAAAGTATCTTCAAAGGGAGCATCTCTTAATTAGAATGGGATAATCTATTCAAAGTTTAGGTTCCCCCATTTCTGTCTGTACTTCAGTTCTATAGAGCTGATTGTTGATATTTATCCCTGAATCAATCACAAAACAGACAATCTTTGTTTTTTATTCATTCATTAGTGAACCAGATGGGTTTTGCCAACAATATTTTTATTCGTTCACGGGATGAGGGCGTCACTAGCTAGGCCATCATTTATTGCCCATCCCTAATTACCTAGAGGGCAGTTAAGAGTCAACCACATTGCTGTGGGTCTGGAGTCACATATAGGCCAGACCACGTAAGGATGGCAGTTTCCTTCCCTAAAGGACATGAGTGAACCAAGTGAGTTTTTTCCTGACAATCAACAATAGTTTCATAATCACCATCAGACTCTTAAGCCAGATTATTATTGAATTCAAATTCCACCGTCTGTTGTGGCAGGATTCAAACTTGTGTGCCCAGAACATTACCTGGGGCTCTGGATTAATGGTCCAGTGCTAATATCACTAGGCCATCCCCTCCACAAATCTAATCGTTATCTCATTGATGTTTGTGGGAGCTTGCTGTGCACAAATCCGCTGCTGAGTTTTCTCACATTACAAGCGTCTACTCCTCCTGTACTAATTGTAAAGGCCTTTGTCGCTGCTGTCTGTGAAAGGCACTATATAAACGCAAATCTTTCTTTACTTAGAGGCTGTTTGTACAGCACTAGAAATGCTTATTACTGGTTGGTGAACCACATGGGGAAATAAATAGGGATTCATTCAGAATATGTTCAATGTTTCTTCTTCCCCTCCCCAGAAAGCACCTCTTGCTAAATCAGAAATTCAAGCTTTGAACCTACTAAAAATTTGTGAACTGAGGAATATCCCTCACTGTATTATTTCCACATGGTTTATACATGGCATCTGGCATCTACTCAATAAATGTTATGGATATTGCCAAACTAAACTATTCCAAAGAAGTGAACCCAAAATGTTAACTCTGTTCCTCTGAGAAAGGTTACCTTTGAGAGATCCTCAGACGCTGCCAGACTCACTGAGTAACTCCAACACTATCTGTTCTTAGGAACAAAAATAGAAGTTGCTGGAAAAGCTCAGCAGGTCTGGCAGCATCTGTGAACACAAAAACAGAGTTAATTTTTCAGGTCCGGCTACCCTTCTTCAAAACTGATGGTGGCTGGGAAAACGTCAGTTTATATGCTGAAAATGGGGAGGTGGGTGGCGTAGGGAGTAAACGATATGTTTTCTCATAGAGGGTTGTGAACATTTGGAACATTTTCCACAAAATGTGGTGCAAGCTGGGTCTTTGGATATTTTAAATGCAGAGGTGGAATGATTCTTGATACACAAGGGGGTTTTGGGAGTAAGCAGGAATGTGTAGCAATCAGATCAGCCATGATCTTAGTGAATAGTGAACCAGGCTTGAAGGGCCGTTTCTTGCTCCTAATATATATGTTTGTATTTCCCATTTCTTTAAGGTCTCTGCTGTCAAACCCTTGGTCCCACTGTCCATTGAGATTCCAGCTGATTGCTGCTCTCACTGCAGCATTAGCAGCTTGCAGTATTTGGTGGACAAAAAGTTTTAAAAGCCAACTAATCGACTAACAATGAGATGGTTAGTCCAATGAAACCTGAGCCACGGGGATGACTTTTACAATATTACCTGCTCCCACCCTCCCTGAATATTCAACAGAAAGACTAATGCTGTAAGACCATAAGAAATAGGAACAGGAGTGGGCCATTCAGCCCCTCAAGCCTGCTCCACCATTCCATCAGAACATGGCTGATCCAATAATCTTCAATTCCACTTTCCTGCCTTTTCCTCTGAAATTTTGATTCCCTGACTGATCAAGAATCTATCTCAACCTTGAATATACACAAGGACTCTGCCCCGACAGCTCTCTGTGTGCAAGGAATTTAAAAGTCACACAACTCTCTGAGAGAAGAAATTCCTCCTCATTTCAGTCTTAAATTAGCACCCCTCTATTCTGAGACAGTGTCCTCTGTTCCTAGGCTCTCCCATGAGTGGAAACATCCTCTCAACATTTACCCTGTCAAGCCCCTTAAGAATCTTATATGTTTCAATGAGATCACCTCTCATTCTTCTAAACTCCAGTGTGTAGAGTCCAAACCTGTTTAATTCTCTGGTTTGAGTTTGAAGGTATGCTTCCCCTATATTCCCTCATATTATCATCATAAACAGTCAAAACCTTTTTTCCCTGGCCTATTCAAACAAATTAATTTGTGAGCCTGTAATAGCCTTTGTGGGTCATTCCCATAGCATTCTGGAAGATTAAACTATGCTATCTTTTCTTTTAAGAACCCGCCTCTTTTCAGATCTGGTTTCTGAAGGAATAATTTTAGAATTTTCAACTTCTGATTCACTGTCCAATTGCACTGGTATTTTCACTTTATTCCTTATTATTTCCATCACCTTACACTCTCACGACTGTGTGGCCAAATTCCACCCCAACTCCATTTACAAGTTTGCTAATGGAGGGCTTTGACACCGTCATTGTAGGTCAGATCTTAAACAACGCTGAGACAGAATACAGGAAAGTGATTGAGTGCTTAGCCACAAGGTGTAAAGACAACAGTCTCTCCCTCAAAGTCAGCAAAACGAAGGAACTGGTCATTGACTTCAGGAAGCGGAGTGGAGGACACGCCCCTGTCTGTACCAATGGTGCTGAGGGGGAGATGTTTGAGAGTATCACATTCCTGGGAGGAAATATCACCAACAATCTGTCCCGGTTCACCCACGTCGGCACGATGGTCAAGAAAGCACAACCATGTCTGTACTTCCTCAGGAAGCTAAGGAAATTCAACGTGTCCACAAAGATTCTTGTCAATTTTTATAGATGCACCACAGAAAGCATCCTATCCAGATGCAGCACAGCTTGGTTTGGCAACTGCTCTGCCCAAGACCGCAAGAAATTACAGAACGTATAAACACAGCCCAGTCCATCACACAAACCAGCCTCCCATCCTTCCATCTATACTTCCCACTGCCTTGGGAAAGCAGCCAATATCATTAAAGAGACCTCCCACCCTGGTTATACTCTCTTCCATTGGGCAGATGAGACTAAAGTTTGAAAACACACACCAACAGATTCAAGGACAGCTTCTTCCCCACTATTACAAGACTTTTGGTGGTGATGGAGGTAATTTTGAAATGCGTGGAAGGACAAGTGGTGTTGAGGAAGTGGGGAGGCTATAGAAGGACTTTGACAGGCTGGGAGAGTGGGCAAATAAGTGTCAGATGGAATACAATGTGGGAAAGTGTGAGGTTATGTGCTTTGTTAGGAAGAATAGAAGTATAGACTATTTTCTAAACAGGAAAAGGCTTCAGAAATCTGAAGCACAAAGGGACTTGGGAGTCCGAGTTCAGGATTCTCTTAAGGTTAACATGCAAGTTCAGTTAGGAAGGCAAATACAATGTTAGCATTTGTTTCAAGTGGACTAAAATAGAAGAGCAGAGATGTACTACTAAGGCTGTATAAAGACTCAGGTCAGACCACATTTGAAAAGATGTGCTGGCATTTGAGGGGGTCCAGAGAAGGTTTACAAGAATGATCCCAGGGATGAAGGGCTAGTCATATGAAGAGCAGTTGAAGATTTTGAGTCTGTACTCAATGGAGTTTACAAGGATGAAGGGCAATCTAATTGAAACTTACAGAATACCGAGACGCTTGGATACAGTGGCCACAGAAAAGATGTTTCCACTAGTAGGAGAGACTAGGATCCAAGGACACAGCCTCAGAGTTACGGGGTGACCCTTTAGAACTGAGATGATGAGGATTTTTTTTCAGCCAGGTGGTGATTAATCTGAGGAACTCATTGTCAGAGAGGGCTGTGGAGGCCCAGTCATTGTGTGTATTTAAGACAGAGATAGGTAGATTCTTGATTAGTAAGGGGATTAAGGGTTATGGGAAGAAGGCATGAGAATGCGGTGGAAAACCGTATCAGCATAGAATCCTTACAGTATGGAAGCAGGCTGTTTGGCCCATCGAGTCTACATCGAACCTCCATCCCACCCAGACCCATCCCCCTACTATATCCCTATAACCTGGCATGTCCCATGGCCAAACCACCTAGTCTGCACAGTTATGTGCACAACAGGCAACTTAGCATGGCCAATCCACCCTAACCTGCACACCTTTGGGCTGTGGGAGGAAACCAGAGCACCCGGAGAAAACCCACGCAGACACTGGGAGCACGAGCAAACTCCACACAGACAGTCATCCGAAGGTAGAATTAAACTCAGGTCTCTGGAGTTGTGAGGCAACAATGCTAACCACTGTGCCAGCCATTATTAATTGAATGGCGGAACAGCCTCGATAGGCTGAATGGTCTGATTCTGTTCCTGTATCTTCTTGCAGTTTAATAGAATAGTTGTTATGTCACTGGATTTATAATCCAGAGGCTCAGGATAATGTTCTGGGGATATGGGTTTGAGTCTAGAATGAGAGGTCATAGTTTTAGGATAAGGGGTAGCAGATTTAAAACATGGATGAGGAGAAATGAGTTCTCTCAAAGAGTCACGGATCTGTAGAATTCACTAGCCCAGAGTGTGATGTATGCCAGTACATTGAGTAAATTGATGGAGGACATAGACGGATTTTTAATTAATAATGGATTAAAGGTTTATAGGGAACAGGCAGGAAAGTGGATTTGAGGCCAACGTGAGATCAGCCATGATCATATTAAATGACACAGTAGGCTAAAGGGGCTGAATGGCTTCTGCTTGCTCTCAGTTTATATCTTCTTAACTAATATGGGAAGCAGATTTTCTCCCCGAATGGGCAATA